ACTTTGTCACCCTTGGTAGAGTGCTGTGATATCACAGCTCACAGCAACCTCCAGTTCTTGGGCGTAGGCGATTCTTTTGCTTTAGCCTCCCGAGTAGCTGGGACTACAGGCACCTGCCACAACGCCTGGCTATTTTTTGTTGCAGTTTGGCCGGGGCCAGGTTTGAACCCACCACCCTTGATATATGGGGCTGGCACCCTACTCTCTGAGCCACAGGCACTGCCTGGATTTTTTTCTTTATAATATGTATCAGGTTATTTTTCTTAAAACATAATATTCTTAAAGCTTTGTGTCTTGTAACATTTTTTTGCTTTGTATAAATAAAACATTTCACACAGTCATTATTAAGCTTGCTTATTATGGGCAGCTGGTTGAGTTTTACTTGGTGCTAATGAGTTTTAGCTTGACAGTCTGACTCCTTTTTACCTTTAGGCTATTCTAAGTAGTTCAAAAGAAATAGCCATCTTGTGCATGGATGCTTTTTGGTTTCATCTGAATAAAAAGGTATGATTGCCTCAATTTCAACCCATCACCATTATTAGAAAAATAATTAAACTACAGAGACTTAGAGTCTCATCCTTCTTCTTGTCACCACTTTAGCAAAACACCTCCTTGGGCCTCATTTATTTGTTTAGCAAATACTTACTGAGAGGCTCAGCCGGTGCCAGCCACTTGCACCAAGGGTGGTGGGTTCAAACCTGGCCTGGGCCAGCTAAACAACTGCAACAACAACAAAAAGTAGCCATGCGTTGTGCTGAGCACCTGTACTCCTAGCTACTTGGGAGGCTGAGGCAAGAGAATCGCTTAAGCCCAAGAGTTTGAGGTTGCAGTGAGCTGTGATATCACAGCACTCTACCAAGGGTGACAAAGTGAAACTCTGTCTCTAAAAAAAAAAAAAATTCTATGGAAGAACACAAAGCCTCACCTCCACCTAAGGTACTGCCAGAGCAAGAATGTGGTTTTATCATATTTATGCACTATGACAGAGATAGAAAAAAAAAATCTGTAAATAGAGGACCTATGTTAAAAATGAAAATAAGTTGTTATTTCTAGGCAAAAGTTTAAAAAGTTAAAGGAAAAATTGGGTGTCACTAATGTTGCTAAATTGTACACTTGAAAAGGTTTAAATGGAAAATTTTATATTTTACTACATTAAAAAAAGTAAAAAAAATTGAGTAGAAAGATGATAATTGACAAAACATCCTAGACACAGGTATGGAAATGAGACTCTGTCTCAAAAAAAAAATACTTATTGAGAACCTACTATGTGCCTGGCGCTGTTCTAGGTTTGGAAATAGAAACAGAAATCTACCTTCATGGGGCTTGAATTTCAGTGGTGGGAGACGACACAAAAAAGAAAATTGGAAAATGTGTTAGATAGTAATCAATACTATGGAGAAAAGTAAAGTAGGAAAGGGAGATAAACAAATGGGTAGGCTTCCTTGAAGAGGGTATTTTAGTAAAGACCTAAAGGAGGCACCAAAGTGAGCCACTTGGGGATCTTCTCAGAGAATTTTAGAGAGAGGAAACTAGTGTAAAAAGCCCTGAAGTAAACATTAGAACTTTCATACAAGAGGTGGAGCAAGATGGCAGACTAGAAATATGTCCCTACTAGCCTGCCCCTGGTAAGGCAGGAGAAAAAGCCCCATTCATCTCCAGCTGGGGAAACCTACTTGGAGTCACCACTCTGGGGGTAAACTGAGGTAGAACTCTTATAACTTATACATTATTGGTGGGAATGTGAAATGGTTCAGCCACTATGGAAAAAGATTGTCATTTCTAATAGCCAGGTGTTGTAACAAGCGCCTGTGGGCCCAGCTACTCAAGAGGCTGAGGCAAGAGAATCACTTGAGCCCAAGAGTTTGAGGTTCCTGTGAGCTGTGACGCTACAGCACTCTACCAAGGGTGACAAAGT